AGGAACAAAAAGTTTCAGTTGAATAGTTTACATTGACATATAGACGAGCTACTATACTGTAGTAGCATGACGATGGATAAGGATAGCCACCATATAACTATTACTAAGAGGACTTGAACGTCAAGCTTAAATTTTAATGCCGCGTTTGCGTACATTGGCAAATTTAATTAAGATCACAATATTTCAGCACCGTTGTTATACAATGCGAAAGAAGGAGAAGTTCGGTATACATACGACCGTAAAACTTCTTGTCATTTTTTTGTGCGATTTGATAAATAAAAAAAAGAAAAAAAGAAAAAACATAAAGGAAATCATCCATTGTGTTAAGCTTGGTCAACAGCTTTTCGCATAGGATAATAGAAAAATCAATACAAATGTAGTCAAACGAAAATGTTCATTAGAGAAGCTTTGTCCTAAAAAAAGAGCCTTCTTTTTCCCACCATGATTTATGTCAACATCGCCATATACCTTTTGAAAGTTTTTCTTGGCGTATAGCCAACTATGGTGTTTCAGAGCGGAAAATAAAAGTGCATCGTCCATGCGATGCTTATATATACTTCAAATCTTATATAAAAACCATTTTTAAGGTTTAACCTAGAATAGCTAAAAGACACCTAAACTTTATGTATCTCTACTGAAGCTTACTTTGTCCTCACGTTATGTCATCGTCGTAGGGCCAACGCAGGCAACAAATTGATGCGGCATATTTTTCAAAATAGCGGCTGGGGTTATTTATGTTAAGATTTGCGCAAGCGTGCTTCTGTAACATACGAACCACACACCTACATAGCCGAGAATTTCATGTAAATCTAATGGTAAACAATTGCCAATGAGTTTATGGGAATTGATAGGCTTAAAAAGACAGTCCTCAGTCGTTTAATAATATTTGTAATAACAGATAAAACCACTTGGGTTTTTCAAGACCTCGTCTAACGGGTCTAAGCAAAGAACAGATCGATGCAGTCATATGCTATATACAACTTTGGTATGTAGTAGTCATCCTATGTACGCGCGTCCGATGAGGTAACTTCAGTCGCCTTTGTTTGCTTACATCGCCGATGATTCACTCGGTTGACGCCGCTAAAAAGGTGGTCTAGCTGACGCCGAACCGTCTATTGCAGAGGCGCCTCCAGCTCTTAAGGCAGCTAGACCCAAACAAGAGAAAGACGTCGTAGCTAAGCGCTCTGCCTTTAAATGCAAATCGTTTTAGTATTGAAGGAACACGTAGACTGATATGATATGATTGTGCATATGCGAGTACATCAACGGGCCGAAACATGACAATAGCTCATTAATGGCTGAACAATTTTAACAACGTACATTTCTAGGTTGAGGATCATAGAGCAGGCAACCAGCTCGGAATCTCAAACCGAAGAACGAATCACTGGAATCACCGGAATTCTCGGAATAAACAGGGCAGGAACAATGCATTCCCTTTGGGTTCATAACGGGACTTGTTATAACCAGACATGCTATAAGATAATGCTGAAAACACTAACTTTGGAAAAATAAAAAGTGAACCTGATTCCAGGATATATGCAATTGAGTTTGGTGTAGTCTAGTGGTAGTTTACTTAAATATTACCAGAAAAAAAAACTTGCTTTCGACACACCGTTGTTATTAACAGGACATAGGGGCATAAATTGGAAAATAAACTAATGCTCCTACTGACAATGGATACATATGTTAGCACAAGATGTTGTCCGAAAAGGAAAGGGTCAACGCTACTTTTTCTTTTTTTCGAAAAGCCTCATAAATGTGTATAGTAGCAATGGATAGCATACGGTGCGGTTACTCACCGACAATACACGATCCCCCCGACAATACCCTTCGCTCACAGTATGTATCGGAAAAAACAGGATGATGCCGTGGCTTCAGCCTATATTCTACAGAATTACATCAGTTAAAATTGGCGATAGGTGAAGCATCGTTTCCTACTTTTGATCATTTTACACAAGCAATCTCTAACGACGCCGGATACGGCAACGCAAATCAATCATAAATACGCTGTCGTTGAGGGACCTTTACAACGATTGATTTCATGTGTACAACAATACATACAGAAAAATGCACATTTAACATAAACCAAAATATAGCTGTTCGACGTTTTTTTTTATCGTTTAGCAGTTACCGGAAATTCTCAGCCTGCTGAATAGCTCCGTATTATCTAATTGTGCTATACTCAGTGTCACCATTCAATTTTTCATCGACAGCATCGTCACTAGGGGCATTTAAGTTCCGGCAGTAGCTAGAACATAGAAGTCTCTTACACATTCTAGACTTTATTAGCTAGAAGATAGGCAGTGTAGGGTGTATACAAGCTGGACCCAGCACGTTTTTCCCCCCCCAAAAATAATCATGCTATGACGAGTTCCTTTACATATCCTCTAGTTCTAATGGCATCACGGTCTGAGCGATGGGAGGTGCTTGCGATGAAACGCTTGTATTCCGCCTTAGATATAACCGCTTAGAGATATATATAATATACATATATAACTGCTTAGAGGTAGACATATGGATGGGTGCAACACCGCAAACTGATTTTAGAATACCCGCTATTATGAACAAATCGTCTTCAAAGTCTGCCTATTACCTGTTTATTACGCGGCTTACATAGTTAGCCACAACATGGTAAACATGGTGCTGCGTAGAGCTACTAGATATGTTCTGTCTTCAGTCAGTTGACAGGCAAAATAATAATACTATCAATTTGCTTTTAGTTCTTTCATCTTCTATTAAACGCATATTATTCCGTCCAGTAGTTTGCATGTAAGCACCTAACTCTATCCATTTCCTAAAAGAAACCAGTCCAACTCAAGCCTAAGTTACTCCACCCCAGCGATATCGAACCTAATCAAAAACACTGAGCAGAAGTCTCAGTCACTACGCCGAAAATATAAAATGCATATGCCAAATTAAATATAAAATAGATTAGGACTAAATTGATTAATTAGCCGTGAATAGGCGAACGAGTACATTGATCCGTAAATGGTCATCCCCAACTCTTTCGCGTTTTAGCATGCCATATTGTTAATTATATAATGTAATACTATTCTTTAGTCCATGAATTACACGAGGCGTATAGGAGATGCACTTTGCCGTTGTCACGTCGTTTTCGTTTCCTGGAGAATCCCAGAACCCTGTTCCAAATCCCACTTGGCGACCCGAATGGTTGAGTGACGATAATTATGACGAAAATACCCATATGGCCAAGCAAACCGCAAACTGAAACCTATACCTAGCCATTAAGGGTTAGTAAGCCTCGACAAATAGCGGCGAAAAGAAATAAATGTATTTTTCGTTACGTTCAAGTTCTGGATAGTCCACTATGGCTATGTAGCTTTTTTTCCGATTGCATTTTGTTCAGACCTGCGCTATGTCACCATGGCTACCTTATTTGCTATTATATCCTTCTCTCCCTAAATATCTAATGGCTTCAGTCGCGTGCTAATGCCTTGACACAATCTCATTACGATTGTTCTACGCGTGAAAATGAGCGTTTATCAGTTATTGATCTACGTAGGACATTTGCTATGTCTCGAACGTGGCAGCCCGCAGAGTCTACGTTTTGCCTAGCTACTTATATGTAAACGTGTGCAAGACTATAGCTTTCTCTGCGTGACTGTACGTGTGACGGGTTTGCGTGAGATTTATTCCTCCACATAGCATGTCGGACAACGATGTAGACCCATTGAAACTGGCAATTCTTGCAGGCCGCTTTCAAGCTCGCTATCGACTGACACCCATGAACACCCCGCCTTGGCAAGCAGCTCAGAGCTCACGACCTGCCGATAGTACCTAACGCTCATTAGAGTCTAAGTGGAGATTCTGCAGCGCTGTATCCATCTGAAGATGTAACTTTATTGTCAGCTCAACGCTTTAGCTGGTCGTAGAGCCGTGTCGCCGCGAAATCCAATGTCAATTTCATTCAAACGAATACTTCCCTCGTTAGTTCATGTCATTTATTTAGAGTAAACAGAGCAGCTTTGTGTACATTGTAAAGCAACCTGTACAAGTCTAGCTAAATGACAGCTGTAAAGTTTCTATTAAAAAAAATGTAAGTCTTCTTCGTCAATATTTTGTTGTAAAGGGAGAGCCTTCTCGAACGAGTGCAGCAGCTATTAGCCAGCACGAAAAATTCATCATCACTTGAGCCCAACTCTGCGAAAGGCTTAGGTGGCGGGTGGCAGTGCGTCCCTTTACCGCCCTCTATTCGTCGGCGGGCCCACACCGAGACACCGAGAACCACTTTCCTTCTGGCCCCTTTCGTTTCTTGCGGGACCGGTATGTCTACCCAAGCAGCGCTCTTTATCGTCGTCCTTTTCTTTTTCTCTCTCTCCTAGAACTACTATGCTTGGGTTGTGGCCAGCATTAGTATGACGTTGAAGTCGATTTTTCCCAACGCAGAGCATTCTATACTATCAACTGAAACCCACCGCAGACCCAGTTGCTATAGCTGTGTATACAAAGTGCAAGGAAAAAGGGCGACGACGGACAGGAAAGGCACACGAACTAAGCGACCATACCGGCACTGGTTTTGCAGGGTTACCAAACGAGACCAGCTAGCTCTATTCTAGCTTCTTTTCAGACCCCAGAAAGGGCTCGAGCTCAGCAACAGCACACATATACATACACACCGAAACGATAGTGGCCCTTGGAATTCTCCAAGGGCCGGAACACTCACAGATCAACATTCCCAGAGTACTCACTGCTCTTTACGGCCGCTATTGCCATCACCACTGCTGTCGGCGCCGCAGGTAGGTCAACCGATGGGGCCCGGCTACTACTGGAGTCTCCCGCAATGGTCGCACCACCCCGGTTGAAACACAGTACTGGGACTCGCGCGTGAGTCGACGAGCTCACCGGGGTGCTCGTAGGCATCCTGAGAAGCGTATTCCTTCTTTCACTCAGTCACATACCCTCTCTGGACCCGCCCGGCCCGATACCCAAAAAGGCCACCGCTTCTAACTTAATACCCGAGTTGAGCTAAAGACAGGCTCAGTAGCTCCGGGAGTTTCGAGTACTTCGTGTCTGGCACTATCGCGGGTCGTTGTTGATTGTGTGAGTGTGATCTCTTGACCCGAACGACTCGGAGGATCAACCATGTCCTCGGTATCGAGAACCAGCAAATACGTTTACAAGAGCACTTCCGGCACCACCGGTGATATCTCCATCGAGTATGGAACCGACCTCGGTGCCCTCACCAGGCTCGAGGTAAGAATCGTTCAACCGAATCGGAAAATCGTTTAACAGAAAGCATCGGATATCAGAGACCACCAGCCCGTTAGCCAGGTTTATCAAAATTTAAAGTTCACCATACCAAATACATTTTCGCTCTTAGAACAATGTTTGACTTACTACCAAATAGTTGATAACTACGATGCACAGTTTCAAGTTAAATATCTGATCGAAACTTGCCACTGAACAAAATGCTGGAAGAACTGACCGTTCTTGCGAACATCAACACGATGGATACTACTTCGATTGTACCTCAACATCGCCAGCATCCTCTGAAACCCAAGGATTACACGTTTTGTTACGTCGCGTAGTGCAGTGTGCAATCTCTTGTACAGGATACAAATTCAGCTCCGTCGGACGAATACAAGTGTTCTATCGAGTGTAGTGTTGTTTTTTCTTTTTAACCCACCTTCCCGCCCCGACCCCGTTAACGATGATGGCCCACTCATGGAGCCCCTGGCGACCATCTTCTTGTGTAAACAGATGGTAAAGCCCTATATAAGCCAGTTGACAGTCGAACAGAATTCAAATCGCGTACAACAGTTGACAAAACCGTTTCTGTGTTTGCATTTGTGTCTGGTTATATTTTATTTCATTTTTGCTTTCAGGATAAGCTCCGCCTGCTCCAAGAAGACCTGGACAGCGAGAGAGAGCTCAGGCAGAGGATCGAACGTGAAAGGTCTGATCTACAGTGTCAGCTGATCGCTCTCTCCGATCGTCTGGAAGAGGCCGAAGGTGGAGCCGAATGCCAGGTTGAAATGAACAGGAAGCGAGACACTGAGCTCTCAAAGCTCAGGTTCGTTAATAATAGCAGTAAACAAGGGCATCTTTTTCGAATCTATAATCCAAGGAAAGGTGCATCAGCACCTACCGAGCACAGTGCGTTAGAGAGCACCTACCAACGAACCTCTTATTTATTAACAGAATTTCACAGAACTTTTAAAATTAGCCTCTACAGATACCTAGTGCAGTAATTCTACATTCTTTTTCTAGATCTTTTCTAAAGGTCATCCTCCTGACGCTTTGCTTACGCGTCATAAAATCTTAGTTCAGCGCAGCTTTCTTCGAAAACAGGGGCTGAGTTGGTGCATCCGCGTAAGCACTGCATTATAAAACAATAGCCAACGATGGTCAAGATGGGCAGTCGTAGGCAAAGCTGGAAAGCGAAGTCGGCAGTTAGTGGGTAGGTAGCACTGAGGGGGGCTCTCTATAAATAGCCCTTGCTATGCTCGTCGTTTAGGGCAAGCGATGATCGAGGTCTGTCACTTGAGGCTGAGGCTAAAGAACGAGGCAGGATTGCGGGTATTTATTTCCTACATTCCAAACAGCCAGGCTAGATCCGGCCTATAAAATCAGTCACCGTGTTTTGTTCATCAACCTTGTAGGAGAGCAGAAAGAACGAACTACACGAAAATTACTATAAGCCACATACGGGGTTTAGACACGTAGGTCAAACAAAAAACGGTTTCATTTGGAAGTGAAAAAATTGGAAGAATTTAGTCAGTAAAGCGCAGATGTGAAGCTATCGCAGAAGCGATTCTCGTCAATCAAATGATCATTCATTTAGATCGAAAGAGCTTGAATTAAAGGTTCTAAATAGCAGCGAACATACTTGTGTTGCTATTGGATATAGATAATACAATTAGATTTTAATTAGTTCAACACCGTTTTTGAATTGTATAGGAAGCTGCTGGAAGATGTCCACCTGGAAAGCGAGGAGACTGCCCACCATCTACGGAAGAAGCACCAGGAAGCAATTGCTGAGTTCCAGGAGCAGCTCGACGCCGTCGCCCGAGCTAAGGCTAAGTTCGTACCCGTGTCCCTTTTAGTCCAAAAGATGCTATAAATGATAATATATGTATTTTCAAAACTTAAAGCACTAGCTGGTCCATAGGCATCTTTCCAACCACGTGTGAAGATCTAATAAAATTCCAAAATTCTTTACAGGTCCGATAAGGAGAAGCAGAAATTTCAGGCTGAAGTATACGAACTTCTAGCTCAGGTGGAGAATACCCAGAAGGAGAAAATGACCGCTATGAAAACCGTGGAAAAACTCGAGACTACCATTTATGAGTTGAACATCCGTATTGAAGAGCTGAATAGGACCATCACTGAGGTCACTGCCCAGAGGCGAGTATGACAGCTCGCCTAGCTCCGCCAAATTGCTTGTATCAAAAGCCTTCTGCGTAAAATTAAAAAAAAAAAACGCTAGCTAACTCTGTCATTTTTGCTCTGCCTCGTTCACATTCGTCCGGCAGGTCTCGTCTCAGCGCTGAGAACGCCGAATATTTGAAGGAGATTCACGAGTTAAAAGTGTCTCTTGACAATGTCAACCATCTGAAAAGTCAACTTGCAACTCAGCTGGAGGATACCCGTAGGAGACTAGAGGATGAGGAAAGAGTATGCTTCATCTTTTACGTCAACTGAAGTGTAACTTTGTTTCGGAAAAAAATTTAAAGTTGCTTTTGTTATCAGTGACAAATAGTAGGTTTAATCGATGTCAATGGCCAGACGGTATCAACGTCGCCTTTAAAAATACACCAATAGTTTCTCCAGAGCAATACTATATGCTTCTTCTTGTTAGATATTCTTAAGCAAATCTTTCACAGCTATATTAAAAATCGTAACTTTATTGATTGTCGATATAATGAACTAATGTTGTGATTACAGAGGCGTTCCACCTTGGAGAGCCACGTCCACACCTTGGAAGTGGAAATCGAATCTCTGAAAGTGCAGCTTGATGAGGAGGCTGAGGCCCGCCTGGAAATTGAAAGACAACTGTCGAAGGCTAATGCCGATGCTGCCACGTACAAAAGCAAGTACGAAGCCGAATGCCAGGCCCACATTGATGAGGTCGAAGATCTTCGTCGCAAGATGGCTCAGAAGATCGCCGAGTACGAAGAGCAGCTCGAAGCCTTGCTCAACAGATGCTCGTCCCTCGAGAAGCACAAATCTCGCCTCCAGTCGGAGGTTGAGGTGCTCATCATGGACCTTGAAAAGGCCACCGCTCATGCCCAGGCACTTGAAAAACGCGTTTCCCAACTAGAAAAGCTCAATAACGACCTGAAGGCCAAACTTGAAGAGGTTACCATGCTCATGGAACAGGCCCAAAGGGATGCCCGGCAAAAAGCCGCCGAGCTGACCAAGTTGCAGCACGATTATGAGAAGCTCCAAGAGCAGAAAGACGCCCTGGCCCGCGAGAACAAAAAGCTTAGCGACGACCTTCAGGATGCCAAGAGCTCGTTAGCCGACGCTATTCGCCGTTGTCATGAGCTCGAGATCGAGATCAAGCGCCTTGAGAACGAACGAGACGAGCTCAGCGCTGCCTACAAAGAGAGCGAGAGCCTGCGCAAATCGGCCGAAAACCGTTGCCAGGTGCTCCAATCGGAGCTCCAGCAGGTGCGTCACGAGTATGAGAAACGGCTGGCTCAGAAAGAGGAGGAACTGGAGGCTCTGCGCAAGCAATACCAGCTCGAGGTCGAGAGCTTGAACATGCGTCTGGCCGACGCCGAGGCTAAGCTCAAGACTGAGGTTGCTCGCATCAAGAAGAAAATGCAGGCCCAAATCACCGAGCTGGAGATGTCGCTTGATGCTGCCAACAAACAGAACCTGGATCTGCAGCGTGTCATCAAAAAGCAAGCTATGCAAATTCAAGAGCTCCAAGCCCACTACGACGAGGTAGCCCGTCAGCTGCAGCAGACCCTCGACCAGCTTGGTGTGTCGCAGAGGAGGTGCCAGGGCTTACAGGCTGAACTTGATGAGCAGCGTGTGGCTCTTGAGTCCGCCCTTCGTGGCAAGCGCGTCGCCGAGCAGTCTCTTGAGGAATCAATGAGCCGCATTAATGAGCTAACCACCATCAATGTCAATATTGCCTCGGCCAAGAGTAAGATCGAGGGAGAACTCACCGCTCTCCAGGCCGACTATGATGAACTGCATAAGGAGCTCCGCGTTGTCGATGAACGCTTGCAGAGGACGCTCGTTGAGTTGAAGAGCACCAAAGATCTGCTCGTTGAGGAACAGGAAAAATATATCAAGTGCGAGTCGATTAAGAAGTCGCTCGAGATTGAGGTCCGCACCTTGCAAGTACGCATTGAAGAGGTTGAGGCTAATGCACTGGCTGGTGGCAAGCGTGTCATTGGCAAACTCGAGGCAAGAATCCGGGACATCGAACTGGAGTTTGATGAGGAGAAGAAACGCCACAGTGAGACTCAGAAGGTGCTTCGCAAGAAGGACCACCGTGCCAAGGAACTGCTGCTACAGACCGAGGAGGACCACAAAACCATCACGATGCTCAACGATACCATTGAGAAGCTCAACGAGAAGGTTAAGGTCTACAAGAGGCAGTTGAACGAGCAGGTACGTGCAGGGCATTTTGTATGCTAGCCAGTCTGTAAACGAGATTCTGCGCGTCACCCATTGATGACTGAATAATTAATTACTCAATGTATTTCATTACATTTTTGGTATTACTCTTTCCATTCACAGGAAGGCCTCAGTCAGCAAAATCTGTCCCGCGTGCGTCGCTTCCAACGCGAGCTGGAGGCCGCTGAGGATCGGGCCGATTCTGCTGAAGGAAACCTGTCTCTCATCAGGGCTAAACACAGGAGCTGGGTCACCACCTCCACTGTAAGTGACGTTACCCTTTATGATTGTATGACCCATTTTGCTGTATGGAGCAAAAGCGTTTTGACAGTCTGAAAAAATCACTTGACCGGTATATATATATATGTTGTACAGACCTAAGGTAAAAAGACTCGTTCGTTGTTCGAGCGAAAATATTTTTATTCTTATTCTTATGGTCACTAATTTAGCATGATTTATTTGCATACTTCGCTAAGACATGCGTATTATTGAGTTTTATTTATTTACGTAATTGTTTAGCTATGTAATAACTCACGCAATTCACCGCCCCCTACGTCTGATCCAGGTGCCCGGCGGTAGCCGGCAGGTGTTCATCACCGAGGAAAGCACCACCCAACAGGTTTAAGTGCTACTATTTACCATCCACACACGGTTCCGTCATGTCACAGCGCAGTCAACAGCAGCGTCGCCGACCAGGCCCGGGGTGACGTCGTGCATTGAACGTAGTTCACTTATTAGACTGAAGAACACTGAAGAGCTGAAGAAAGACTACGTACAACGAACGACGCCGCCCCATCATAAGGCTGCTCCTAGCGCCTGGTATCAGTTACTCCAGTCAAATCTTTTCGGCATCCTGAAACGCAACATTTCGTTGAGAACAATCAACGACCCGAAGGCAACTTCTTTGGTCAAGATTTATCAGGACAAAATGCTGGCGTCTGATTTCCATTGATCGTTGTATGAGATAGAACAGTAAATCAGTTTGAGGGTGCGGAGGATCTCCATCGTTAGGACGAACGTTCGATCGTCATGGAGTGGCCAGGCACCCGCGCTAGACGCTGCCTTGCCCGGGGTGGCGTGGGGTTCGAGCCCCTGACTACTACATTGATGGTGGACATCCACTATTACGCCTAATACCTTTCGCAAAGACAAACGATCAATTCCATCCCCTAAGAACAATTCATCAAAGCAAAACAAAACGATCAGTGGCTCGAAACCACCGCCATTCCAACCCCAGAAATTTACAAAATACTGAAAGAAAGAACCCAGTAGAAGTAAGAGCCTATACAAGACAACATTCACAATTCAGTTCCCAGCAAGGAGATAATCATATATATGCCATGACCAAAAAAAATGAGAGTTATGAAGCCTCTATAGTTTTCGAGTTGGGGACATGGCCGAAATAATCCGGAGGCAATAGTCAAACGGTGTTGGTGGGACACCAGAGGGTAATAAAAGGTCAACTAGGTCTAGACAGATGGTTAGAATCTATAGCTCAATTAACCGAAATATCCCCTACGATTGATCACTTGATACCGCTGTGCATCGACTGGCAAGAACATAACGGAAACTCAAAAATAAACAGAAAAATAATCTGATGAAAATGAAGGAGGCAATGGAAATGTAGTCAGTCGAACTGAGACAAGTGTGTGTGATCGGCCACGAAGCGAAACGTCGGAGCTACAATCGCCCGAAGGTTTGTCCTCCCCTGACAACGACAACGATATTGTTTATGTCAAACTAGCAGACGACAGCCGCACGAAACATGCAACAGAATCGACCGAAAAAATCTATATATAAGTACAAATCCCCTACTCATAGCGTCGTACTCGTAGCGACCTATCGAAACAACCCGTATGTATTGATGTAATTATAGTGACCCTGTTGAGAATCAGCATCCTCCTCCGGTCGAACCCTTTTTCTTTTCCATCGACCAATCTCCAACCATTGCGGTTTGTCTATTTTCATTGCCAAACGGGTACGTTTAATGAGAGTCTATCAATCAACAATAATTACGTCCATAAATAGAGAACGAAAGAAAAACGAATGCATGAACGTGTGTTGCGTGCACGTATCGCGATACTAAAAGACCAACAACAACAACTACATCATCATCAACAACAACGACGACGACGACGACGACGACAACAACAATGAAAGAAACAACAAAATACTAATAATGCTTAACAGCAACACCGCTTATGAGATCAAGATAAGTACTTACCGGAGCGCCACTAGAGATTATATGGAAACAACGAAACACCATAAGGCGATAAAGATAAGACATCGATAATTATAATGATCCTCATTAAAAAATGCATGAACAAGATCAGAACGGAATATGACATCAAACAAATAATACAGTAATCGATACAGATACTAAATAAAAAAAAAATAATAAACAAAAATCGATCGCAGATTGTGTGTGAACCAGGTAAGTGCTGCCTCTGCGGGTTACAGCTGACGCTGCTCACAACTATGATAACATATTATGGAACATAAGAAAATTGAAAAATATCTTTATGAACAGCAAAATGCTATGAGATTAAAGGGCAAACGATATCACAATTTTGTTATTTATTATTAAACTACTATTATTAATAAAAGGCGCCAAGTAAAAAGCTGGTGTTTTGTCTTGAAACGGTTGTTGGTGTCTAGATAATTAAATTCTGCCGTGATTTTCCCTTAAAACGTAAATGAAATAGGCTTAGTTCTGATCCTTGTTCAAAAATAATTGTCATCTTTATCGAAAAGAACAAAAGAAGATCACTTAGTTAAAAACGTATACGGTAGATAGTTATGAGGTAAAAAGTTTAATTCGGAAATAGCAGTTGTTTCATCCTATCCAAGGGAAAATTGATTGAGGCTTATCTAAGAAAGAATAATTTTTACTTACGTTTTCGTGCTCAGAACTTTCCAGCAAATGGGTGTCAGCGCATACAACGAACAGCTGCTCGTTTTCCTAGCTCGAGGTTATTCGATGCTTATCGTGGCCGATAAGGAGGTTCGTATCGAGAGACGGATTGAGTCAGCTCGAAACGCATGCTTTCTTCAAATGAAGATAATCAGTAGGTAGATATTTATTTGAATTACGACCTCACTAGAAAAAGCATTTTCGGCATACGGTCACATGCATAGCATAATCTAATGATGATCCCTTTTAAGTTAGGGTTGGAGTCTATCCATTAAATTTTCGATGCGATGCTTGAATAGATAGTACATTGTCCATTCGAAACATACTGAAGATCATGTCCTAGAGTACGATAGACAGTTGAAGACTATTCAGACCTTAGCTAGGTAGTGAAGGGACGTACAAAAACATTTCAATATATATAGTGAAATGGAACTGTTCACGTTACGGTGACGGACACACGGGGCCCGAATGAACGAGCTCAATAAACGGTTACCGTCTAACGTAGGCCTCAAAGTACGAGTTAATATGGTTTTGTTGAATCAAGTCATCTATGGCAAAAAAGATATTAAAAAAAAAAAAGCTAGCCTGAAAGGGAAGCTTGTTTTTTCAATCCAGACCTGCAGAGATAGATATGTCGAATCTATTTGGTTCAAGTAAAAAAAAGCAGTGTGATACTTTGTCAGAAAAGCATTTTCTTTATTTCTTATAAAAATGCGCAATAAACTTTCAACAATAAAGCAGTTCTATCTAAATGCCCGGTGGGTAAACACGGGGAGCTCTTTTATTTGTATGTATTAATTAGTGTGTTTCATTGTATTTGCGAGTACTCTGCCCATTCATAACCAGTTATTATTGGAAAAAAAAAACAGGTGACGAACTCAATTGACAAGCGCATTCGTTCATTTAATACAATTATTATTTACTTATTATTAATTAGTATTCACAACCGCTAAACGCTCTCCCCCATGATCTCGTCTATGTCGTTCATTCTCTCGAGCGAGGCTACGAGCCGCAACAAAACTGGTTTCTTACCGAAGGTCACTCCGTAGTAATGAATGCAATCACGAACTGACGACAACGGCAGCACAGAGATAGACAAAGCTTCGTTGGAACAGTACTTCGAGGTAGCAGGAAACAGACAAATAGCTCTCTATCCTTGAAACCGCTAGCGGGTAATAAGCTTCAACGGAGCCACATGTTAGTATGTACTTCTATCTAATATCACACTCGAATCTACACTCGCATATCGTGTGAGCGCCTACAAATCTTCAAGACGCTCTAGCAGATTCAATTTCATTACAAAAAGAGCGAGATAAATCCGTGTTCAATGCTTTTCAGTCATTCATTCGTTCGTTCACGTTTAGACTTCGCTGCGTAAGCAATTTACATTTAGAAGTGAATAAGAGAACATGTCCGTGGGAGAGGCATGCGTGTCTGTGCACGTGTCTAGTCAGTCTTTTTGCCAATCAAAGATAGTCGAAAATGATGTACCACCGTTCAGCTTTATCAAAGCGATCTTGATCTACCGTCAGCCTGACGTGCTTGCACAATATAGGTCGGTTACAAATGAGCATTTCGCTTATAGCTTAGCCGGAACTAACCGTAACAAATTGACAATCAACTTCATCGATAGACGAGCTTCGGATGTAATAATTACCGTTAAGCATCGTCATCATCATGGCAATCATAGTTGGAGTCAGCGTCTGCACATATGTTTTTCTACCTTAATCATCAAATATGCTGTCTTCAGCGCTAACCCTTATTTCGTCCAATATTTACATAAGAAGAAGAAGAAATTCGTCCAAACTCACAGCTCAGACGTAGTCCTTCTCGGCGTCTATCTAGCAACTTCTTTTTAATAATAGCCGACGTCCACAATATATGTCCTGTTTCCTTGAAGCGTGTAATTACCCCCATGCTTCACCTAGATTCGTCGATTGCTCTTCGTCGCCGATTACAGCTGGCAGTAACGTGAAATCGCGGGTGCAAAGGCTCACAGTTCCTGGATGACCCACCCCAGGTTGTAGCCTTACCACCTTGCCGCCTTTAATTTCAACCTTAATTAAAACAATACCGGAAGCAGATTAGGCAAACCTTCTACATTCTAGTGCTCGCTCCATATTGCCTGCGTTCTCGTCAGTAACATCCGGTAAAAGACAAGCAACTGAGCTCGCTATTAGAGATAGAGACTCTCTATCCATCAGTGTGCCAATAAGTCAGTCTCAGCATCGTGGATAAATCAAATCGGCAGAAATAACGAAAAATGCTACACTTTGACAAATGTTCTCTGCGTATCCCTGCAGTGATCTTCGATTACCTACAGCGTCGTAAATTCGATTTTTCATCACTTCGCGAGGCTGAAAATTTCGACCTAAGCGATACTCCCAGTTTTTGCTGAACCTTGTCTAAACAGCAGAGTGCACAATTACAGACATATGCGTTATCTTCATATTATAGAGGCGGCATTATTATTATCGATAATGGAAAAACACCGTATCGAGACGACAAAGATGAGAAAAACCAAGTTTGGCATTTAATTTTCAATGATTTGGCTTGATTAATCCTCGTCCGATTTAATTTTTCGCCTATTGTTCAGGTGAACTGGGAGCAGCCCCTGCCATGACCCCATGCTCTATAAATTTTCTAAAACAGTTGCAGTGTAATTTCTTTTCATGCTCAATTTCAGACGATTTCCTTTTTTGGGGTTGCGCGAAAATACCCTATCGATCATTAAAAGCCCGTAATTGCGCAACGTCCCCGGATTCGATTGTGGTCCATTGGTTATAATTTTCTTTTCAATCTATTACAAAACCATTGGAGATGGTAATAATGATGAAACTCAACAATCAAGAACAAAACCATACCTGCCCCTCGATCCTGCAGCCAAACGTCTAAACTGTGAGCGGAATGGTCAAATCACTCGAGCCTCATCGTTCACGCATAACTATATTTATGCAAATAACTATTCTAATAATAGAAAAAGGCCGCGCAGAGTCCTACTTCGCTCGTCGCACAGCCTGGAAAGGTCCGAGAGGTAACAAGAACTGGCACAAAGCGGACACGCAGCGCATTTGGAATGCATTGGGATCCCATTAAAACCGTAATAATTATTCACAATCGTACAGATCAACGATAGCGTTCGAAGCAAAACGTTCGATCTCGGTTTCCTCGAGGCCGTCCGCGTTCTCAATACCACCGTTCAACACCGTGTGTGTACGGTGTCAGGCACCGTGAAAAAGTCGAGAAGCGTACGGAGAGTGTTTATTTCAAAGGTGTATTCTATAT